ATACTGTCAATCCTAAAGCACTGTCTTGTTGCTACAAGTGAACAATTTATTCATCATTCAGTACATGTACTGTAAAGCATTGATATACAAGTACATGTACATGTAATTCATAAATGAGTCAATATTTTGTACACATGCAGTATAGTCTCTCTTAATGGACACTCTCTATAGCGTACACCTCCATTTAACGGACAGCACCTAGTGTACCAATTACATTCCTTACTGTATAAAATAACCTCCACATAAACGACACCTCTGTATAACAGAGACACTTTCTTGTACCAAAGTATCCATTATATAGAGGCTACACTGTAGTTGTTATTTCTATCATCTCCCTTTCCTCCTTTTGCCCTTTTTTCTTTCAATTGCTTCATCATTATTAATTAGCACTAATACTGTACTAACATCTACTAACATGTAACAAGTTGAAAGGATTCATTATATGTGTATATGTGTGTGTGTATACATGTACATGTACATGTATACTTATGTTATGAAGCCACATTATGATCCCTTTCTGTCACTGCTCTTTCATTTAGTACAATGTAATTTGAACTGTTGGTTATCTAGACACTGTCTCTCTTTTATGCGTGAACTAATATCCTCTAATCATCTTATTGTATTTTTATACAGTGTAGCCTTTATATAACGGAATGAAGCAGAAAGTGTCTCTGTTATACAGAGGTGTCCTTTATGTGGAGGTTATTTTATACAGTAAGGAATGTAATTGGTACACTAGGTACTGTCTGTTAAATGGAGGTGTACGCTATAGAGAGTGTCCATTAAGAGAGGCTATACTGTACTAATAGTATACATATGCTGCTAAACTAGTGTTAATGTACATGTATTATTATAACACTAGTACAGAACAATATGAATTATAATATGAATATGATACTGGTATAATACATTACTATATTGCTAATGCAATGCTGGTACTGTTACCATTATGTTCATGTACTATGTGATGAAAAATAGTACAAAATTATTTATTAATTTTTGAATGAATAGCAAGTTTTCTGTTTTTTAAATGCTCATAACTTGAAAAATTTTAGTCAGAATTAGCTCAAACTTGCTACATAGCTTAAGGACATTGATGTGTATCAGAAAATGTAATAAAATTTTGGGGTGATTTTTCAACCATTTTTTGGAAAAAACCATGGGCTATATAGCCTTGAGTATTTTACAGAATTTTGGCATTTTCTTAAAATGGCTGTAACATGAAAAATTGAAGTCAGAATCCTCTCAAACTTTCTACACAGCATAAGGATATCAATATGTATCAGAAAATGTAATAAAAATTGGTGGTAATTTCGGAGCCATTTTTTGGAAAAAACCATAGGCTATAGCCTTGGGTATTTTTCAGAATTTTGGCGTTTTCTTAAAATGGCCGTAACTTGAAAAATTAATGTCGGAATCAGCTAAAACTTTCTACACAGCATAAGGACATCAATGTGTATCAGAAAATGTAATAAAAATTGGGGGTAATGTCAGAGCCATTTTTTGAAAAAACTATGGGCTATATGGTATAGGGCATTTTTCATAAATTGGCATGTTTTTTAATGCTTATAACTCAAAAATTTGTGATTGAGTCATCTGCTGTAACTTGTTCAATCGTGTTGTCATTCTTCTCGTGGATGATTAAGCAAGAAATGTCAATTTATCCTAGCCATTTCCTCTTTTTAAGCATCAAAACACTCACAACAATAATAGCTATAAGAACTGTCTATACATATTATAGTTAGAGGCTATTTAGACAACTCAGTTTTTAGAATCGTACAGTATAGCCTCTCTTAATAGACACTCTCTATAGCGTACACCTCCATTTAACGGACAGCACCTATTGTACTAATTACATTCCTTACTGTATAAAATAACCTCCACATTAAGGACACCTCTGTATAACAGAGACACTTTCTTGCCCATAAGTGTCCATTATATAGAGACTACACTGTACATCACATGTTACTCTGATGTAAGATGACATCATCATGACATCATTGTTTTACTCCTAACACACAAGCCTTTCCATCAAGAACCATAAATGGAACCAAAACAAATTGTCACTATACACGTCTCTATTTAATGTGTGACATATGACAATTTTTATTCAATCATTCTGTATCAGTAAAACCTTTATATGTCTTGGCTGGTCCATACTTCCTGACTCTGTATGGGTACAACAGACTGAGGGACTGTTACTGTCAACTAATTTGAAATATCTAGCGGTTCTTCAAAGCATGTTTAAAGAGCTTCTATGTATTCAATTTTAGTCGCTTTGGGGCTGCTGGAATTTTTATAATTCTTACACTAAAACACAGTGATGTGTCACTATTTTATACATGTATGCTTTTATGTGTGTACATGTACATGTATATATGTGTTTACATGTTGTGGAATGTTATTTAGGTGATATAAGGGTTTATGTATGTTGCACAAGCAAGCTTTTTTTGTAACTATATTTCTTATATTTATAGTTGAACTAATTTGTTACATTTTCCTAGCTTCTCTTAACAGGCACTCTCTATAGCAGACACCTCCATTTAAACGTTGTAACATAAATAAAGGACATCTTTATTCTTGTCCACATAAAAGTCACTTCTGTATAACAGAAAAAATCTCTTGTACCAAATTGTGCATTATAACAGACTGTGTATACTTAATAGTTAAGTCTTATCAAATATTTAAAAGTACATATATTTGGCTTGAAGCTAACACATGTACTTGTACATGTGTTAGCTGTTAATTGAATGTTATGTGTACGTGTTATTAGTATGAGTCAATACTTGGAAACTATACTTCATTGAAAGGTGTTAAGCTTTCACTATAAATGAACATGTACACACAGTGAGATATTTACTCATGCACATTATTAATGTTTTAATTTTGTTGTAATAAAGACTGACCAACAAGGCTTCTTGCTTTTTAAGTGTACAGTTTCATTTTCCTCCTGTTCTCTTTCTCTCTCTCTCTCTCTCTCCCCCCCCCTCTCTCTCTCTCTCTCTCTCTCTCTCTC